CTCTGAAGAGCTTTGAAGAATGCATACTACAGAAATCCCAATTTCAGTTTTCCCTTAATAGAAAGTAACTTGAAAAAAAATTTACAGCTTACACCATTTTTTTTCCCCCTTATCTCTCAGTACAAAATTCCTTTCAAATTAGAGTTCTTGCAGTGGGTAGTAGTAGGTAGTTATGCATTAATCAGCAAGCTCTCCTGAGCAATCCAGTTCATTCTGACTAGTAAGAGGGTTCCAGCAGCCAACATGCATACAGGTTTCTAAGAAAAAAGGAAGCCAAGAAAGGCAGCTCCTGAGGATAGGAAGAAAATAAGAAGTGACAGATTGGTGCCACATAAGAGCAAGCATGGCAGGAGAGGCCACCATGCTCTCCTCCAGATGAAGGCTCAAGGAGGAGCAGGTAGAGCAGAACACTCTTAGTCTGCATGACAACATCTTCTCTACTGAGAGTAAATAGGATCCACCAAGACTGCATCATTCCTGATGAGCAGAATGATCTCATTCTGTTTACTGCTTAGGGAAGATGTACATTTTTATCCTCCTATCAAATATAAGCAAAACCCTGCATTTTTTAATGGCCTGGCCATTTAGGATTTCTGATTTTAATTAACACAGCTCAAGGTTTAACAATGTGAACTTTCTTCAATCAAGTAGAACCCAAGTCAGGCACAGAATTTTCCTTCAGCATTGCCCTGAATTCATAAATATGGAAAACAGCAGGAAGAGACTTTCAAAAAGTCCTTTTAAAAACTTTCATTTTAACTTTTCAGAATGTCCTTTTGAGATAGGTGGAAGCTATTTCCACCTGCAGCATGAATGGAGCTGGCCTGCACATCATTTGTTCTTTTTGCATTGCATTTGTAAAAAATAATTAAAAAAAAAATTAAATTATAGCCACAGTCACAACTGAGTGATTTTACTATGTAGTAAAAAAGGGAAAAGGTGTTAACTTAGTTTTGATGTCTAATTAGCTGACTGTTCTTGCCTTTTTTTCTATCTTACCATTGGAATTCTTTGGCTCCTCAAACTCAGTGATGTTTTCATTCAATCTAGTGACTGCTCTGCTGCTCCATACACACTGTACTTCCACAAACCAGGTGATTTTGGACTCATACTTTAACAGAATCTGAGGATTAAATAAGCCAAGAAGATTAATGCATGCAATGCAAGCCACCACTTCATTAGTTGCAGTAGCTCAGCAACGTGGGACGTGCAGCACAGAACACTTCCCAGCAGCCAGTTTCTACAGAGGGCTCACAGCTCTCCACGTGTGAGGGTGTCTTGCCCAGACTTCTCCAATCCCTCAGACAAGCTCTTCAACTGCAGAACCCCCAAATTCACCAGCACACAGACCCCCCTCACTAGCCTACCCAGGAGGCTACCACTCCCTCCTGCCATGCCACAGGCTCACCTCTAAGCCCTGGCCTGCTCTGCAGGACTGCATCCTGCCTCCATCAGAGGAACCTTTGAGACAAAAACAGAAGTTCCTTTGAACAGTCTTTGAATATCTGTCTTGGAAAAAGTCACTCAAGTTCTAAAAAACCCCCTGATATTCCTTTATTTATAATAGCCTTTTCAGGAGAGCAACAATAGCACACTCTCTTCTAGACCACTCCAAGCAGTGTGCTTTTGACAAAACCATCTCCTGTAAGCTGCTCACAAACTGCACCCTACCCCTTCCCTGCAGTCAGTACAAGCCCTTGTTTTGGGTGCAGCCTGTCCCCAAGGAGATGCAGGATTATCTGCTCATGGCTGATGATCACCTGAGCAGGACTCCCAGGAGCTTGTAGTTGCCCACAAGTAAGGCAGTTGCTGCTTTGTGCAAATCAAACACTTCCCTGTGTGTAGAACAAGTGACTTCTCAAGCTGGCTGTATGGATCTGAACTGCAGCACAGGCATTTCCATGAACAAAACATGGCCATGCAACAACAGGTAAGAGCTGATAGGATGCACTGAAGTTTGATTTCAATGCAATGTAAAAAAGCCCAGAACACATGTAAAGGCATCTCCCCATGGCCATGCATCAGGGTGCCAGCAGCACCCAGCAAGTCAAGTAACTCCTCAGCTTGGTGACAAATAGGCTTTGGCCTCAGGACCCTCTAAATTCAGAGGCATATCTTTTTTTCCCTGTTATATATTATTATTATTACCACTGTCTTGGGCCTCCACCTTCAGCTAGAATGAGGAAACACCTTTGCCCTGTGGAGCTGCACTCCTGAAAATCTCTACATGGGTGTCCTATGGAAGTACAACTGGCTAGAAGACTTCCCAAAACTTGGAAGAGGAAACACAATGGACCCCCTTTGCCCTGTGGAGCTGCACTCTTGAAAATCTCTACATGGGTGTCCTATGGAAGTACAACTGGCTAGAAGACTTCCCAAAACTTGGAAGGTATGGAATGTGCTACTTACTCCTTTTTCCTCTTCATCCAGAAACACTGCCTGGAGTTTCTGGGACACATCTCTAATGCTTATTTGCTCAGCAAAATCTTAACTTCTCTAAGAATGAAAAACATAGTATGTTCAATTTATTTAGCATTGTTAGAGAGCAGCTAAATAGATCATAACACAAAGTACACATCTTTTAGTTCTGAATTTCAAAGACACACAGAGCCAAACTCACTAGAGAACTTGTGTGTCTTTTTTGCCTCTTGTCAGATCACTGATGTGAGGGAAGTAAATGTTCAAAGCAGAAAACAGCAGTATTGCCAATTCAGAGAAGGTTATACGTGTATTCCACAATCAGCCTTTTCATCAGATAGGCTCAAAATGAGCTCAAAAAGTAAAGGCTGTGTTTATCACACAGGTATAAAAAAAAATCCTTGTGAAACTCTCAACAGGAGATCTGGTCTCCAGTAGATAGGCTGCAGACCAGAGGAATTGTAGTGGCCTAAGAGCATATTAGAAATAACTTGTAGAAACACTTCTTGCTTAGGAAAAGGATGCTAAAATCCTTGGTGTAGTGCTCTCATCAGAACTCCAGATGTTTTTGTTTTCAGTACATTAGAAAGTTACAGACAGGTATCTTAATCTTCCAACTTTCTCAAAGTTCTCTACCTGCACATTTCCCTCCCCAAAAAAAGTGAGTACTTCAAATGGCTGCTTCCCCCTCCTCAAGCACTGCACTTCTAGTGGAGTCAGGGCACAATTACTGAGCCCTCGTGACACCCAGCTCCACCCACACCAACAAACCCCAACTATTCCAGCTTTGGCTCCTCTTCCTGTGTACGTAATGTCCCATTTGTTTTCTGTCCTCCTCTATTGTTGTTGCTCAAAGTATGAGCCAAGCGACTTGGCTGGAAATGCCTCTGAGCGAGGGGGTATCTCCTGCCAGGTAGCTTGAAGGAAAATGTAGACTACTTCTGTTCAGC